CAGGGACTGGCGGGCGCGGCGGGCGGCGCGGCGGCGGCGGCGGCGGCGGCGGCGGCAGCGGCAGCGGCGGCGGAGGGATCTGTGCCGGCACTCGCGCGGGCTCGCGCTGCGGCCTCTCCCCGCGCCGCGGACGGATCCGGGCCGAGCGCGGCCGCGTTCGCTGCTGACGGGCGCCGGGACGAGGCGCAAGTGGGCGGGGTGGCCGCCTCTCGCGACAGCAGTGCCGGCCAGGCCCGCCCCCATCGCCGATTGGCTCCGGCGGCCCCTTCTCGGCCCGTGATTGTTCCGAGTCCCCAATCCCATTCGCCCCCGCTGCGGCCACGCCCCCCCGGGGCTGTCGATCACGTCGGAGCCGCCCCGTCCCGCCCCTCGGCGGCCCGCGGGGCCGGAGCGGCGGAAAACCCGGGGCGGATTCCCGCTCGCTTTTGTTCCCGCAGATTTGCGCCGAGCATTGTTTGAGGTGAAAGTCGGGCATCCGGCCTTCCCGTGTGACTCCCGGGCGTCACCGTAGGGAGGCGGCGAGTGTCTCCGGAAAGCTGCTGGAGCGGGGCTCCGGAGACCCGAGCCGCGCGACCCGGTGCTCCGTCAGCGAAGCTGTGTGACCTTGGCCGAGTCTCTTGGCCTCTCTGAGCCCTGGGCGCCTCCGCGGAACCTGAGGGTAATTCTTACCGCCCCGGGGGGCTCGCGAGAAGGTCGTGAGCTTACAGAGGGCCGGCGCCCGCCCGTGCGAGCCGACCCGCCCGCCTTGGGGTGAGCAGGGAACCCCGTTCTCGGCAGCCCTCGCCCGGATGGAGCCATTGTTAAGCCAGGCTCGTGTCCGCGAGCGGGGAGCGGAGAGAGCGCAAATGCGCCCGCCTGCCCCGGCCTGTGTGTGGCGCCAGGCTGCAGGCTGAGCCGAGGCCGGTGTGCCCCATCCCCTGGACATGCTACAGTTGCAGGCCCGGGGTGTGGAAACCGCCGCCCTCCGGAGCAGTCACCCATTCTCCCCGCCCTGCCGCTAGGTCTCGGCTGCGGGTGTCTTGTGACTCATGTGCGGGTTCATTGGTTCCGCAGCTGTGTGTGCCAGGTTCCGAGGCCCGGGGCCAGGGGTGCGCACTGCCCTGCCCTCGCTGCCTTGCGGAGCTCACACCCTGGTTCTCAGCAGTGCACGAGAGGAAGGACTGGACCCAGGCGCGGATTTCTTCGGGACAGGTCCGAGGTGCTGTAAACTTTCTAACAAGACCTTCTCCAGCCTTGGGACTTCAAGGTTAGACAGATTTTGTAGAGTCACATGAGGGAGAAAAGGAAAATATGCTTCCCACTCCTTGACCCCTCTCCACTCCTTGGGTAAAATTTCCCAGAGCTACTCTGGGGCTCTTGGCCAGTGAAAGGAGAAAGCATCCAGGTGACAGTCCCAGACATCCCAGCAACCAGGTGACACTCCCAGACATTTCAGGAACCAGGTGACAGTCCCAGACATCCTGGCATTTAGGTGACCGTCCCAGACATCCCAGCAATTGGGTGACACTCCCAGACATCCCGGCATCCAGGTGACAGCCCCAGACACCCCGGCAACCGGGTGACAGTCGCGGACATCCCAGCGTCTGGTCTACAGTCCCAGACATCCCAGCAACTGGGTGAAACTCCCATACATCCCAGCAACCGGGAGGCAGTCCTAGACATCCTGGCATCCAGGTGACAGCCCCAGACATCCCGACAACCAGGTGACACTCCCAGACATCCCAGCATCTGGGTGACAATCCTAGGCAGTGTAAAATCTGCATAGGCAGCAGGGGAAAGTCTGGCTCCATGGGGTCTCCCTACCTCATTTCCCCATTACAGACTAATTTCTATAAATAATTAAATTAATCCTTGTTCTCTTTGACCTCACCTTTTCAAGTGATTTCAGGAAAGTAGCCACATTCCAAAATTTATGATATGTGGAAGTAAAGCAATGTGAAAATTAAGGTGAGTCAACACCTTTGCCTTCTCTTGGTTAATTAGGTTCCTCAGAGCAGAAAGATCTCAGGGCCCTCCAGCACTGAGGGTTCCTCCAATCCAGCCCAGCCAGGCTGTGAAGCCCCCAAGTGATGGTGTCAAGCTACCTGTGTTCCAGTCCCAGGTCCAGCCAGCTCTGTGGCCTTGGCCACTCACTCAAGCCTGCACGTGTAAAAGGAAGCCAGGACCCCACTCCCAGCTGGCAGTGGAGGTCAGGGGTGCTAACAGGGCCCAGACAGCTGGGACAACGGAGCCATAAGTACCAGGATCAAGGCCTCCCAGCTCTTGACTGCCTTCTTGCCACTTTTTGCTGTGCTATTTGCAATGGAATGTGTGTACTGGCCTGAATGGTGGTGTCCCCCAAAAGGTCATGTCCACCCAGAACCTCAGGATGTGAGTTTTTTTGGAAATAGGGTCTTTGCAGATATACTTTAGGTAAGAATCAAAGTGAGAGCATCCCTTGTTAACAGGAAAGAAGAAGCAGAGACTCGGGGGATGGGGGACGCCATTGAAAACAGAGGCAGAGGTTTGGAGCCAGGGCATGCCTGGAGCCACCAGGAGCTGAAAGAGGTAGAAAGGACCCTCTCCTAGAGCCTGTGGAGGGAGCGCAGCCCTGCGACCTCTTGCCTTTGGACATGACTGCAGAAGAATATTTCTGTCACGTGAAGCCCCCGGTGTGCGGTCATTTGTCATGGCTGCCCCTGGACGCTCTTACATTGTGATTTCCCCTCACCCCAGCGCAATTTAATTCAGCTCCGCGGATAGTGAATCACTGCCCTGCAGGACCAGACCCCACTAAGGACTTGGGGGCCTCCAAGAGGAATGAGACCCAGCTCGTCCACTTTAAGGCACAGACGGCCTGGACTCCCGTCTCCAAAGCAGATGGCCACCCATCTGCGGGAGCTTTCTCTTCGCATACTGTTCCCTTTCCCGGGACGCAGCCAGGATCCTCCTGGAGGGGAGAGTGGACGATGACCTGCCAGTCCCTCCCAACATTGTCCCTCAGGCCTGGCCATGAGGCTGTGGTTCTCTTAGCCAGCTGCTGTTCTCCCTCCCACCTAGGGCTCCTTCCCTAAAACAGCCTCCAGCTCTGGGCTATCTGGAGCTGGTCCTGTTCCCTCTCTCTGCAAAAGGTGATCCCTGGCTTCAAGTGGGATTTGAACATTTCTCCACCGCCTACAAAGTGGAGGGCCTGAGGATCCATGGGAGGAGGCTCGGGTGGTGGGGCGCAGGGTAAGTCAGATGGTGGGGCCTTCCTCCACACGATCAAAGGGGTTGCAGGTAAAAGGGAAGCAGGCCATGTGTTCAGACGGAGAGATGCCTGGTGAGACACCAAATGGGACAGCAAGTTCACTCCCAGGAGTGAACATACCTGCCACGCGCCTAACAGGCCAGGCGCCGATGGTGCTGTGGGCCCTGCCCTTGGGAGCTCATGGCGTAGGTCTAGGGCAGAACAGTATGTCTGTCTACGTTTTCCATAGAGCTGGAACGGAGTATAAATTAATACTATTTTTGAGAAAGAGAGCGAGGGAAAGACTGGGAGTTCACCCCAAATGCCCTAAAGAAACACTTTTGTAATGAAGACGTGGTATGCCTGGATGACTTCCTGTGTCTGGAGTAGCGATACTGGTAACTTTGCTGCGGTGGCAGGGCCAGGGCTGAGGCCAGAGCTCGGCCACCTGGACTCCCAAGTCCAATGCCCACACCCCACTCTGGCCCTGTCGCCCCACTTCTCCCTTCTCGTTTACAACCCAACCCTAGAGGAGGAGCCTAGAGGCCACGTTGGGATAGGAAAATGAAAACAGAAGGCTAAGGTTGAGAGTCTGGTTAAGACAAGAGCTCCTCGAGCAGTCAGGGCGCAGGTGCACACACAGGCACTATGCCGGGAACCCCCCACTTACCTTTCCCTGAGGGTTCGTTGAGGGGTGTGCATGTGTCTAGTTGGAGATACCTACTGAGTTTCGTTTTTCCTTTGTCCAAGGCCCCGTCTTTCTGAGACAGAAAACAAGGGGACCCAAAACCCCTTACAAGCAGGCCTTAAGAAGTGTGTCCCTACTCTTATCGACGGGATCCTTGCTTGGTGCCACAGCTCCTGATCACCTTGTGTGATTGCCACAACTCTGTGTGCCTGGTTCTGAGAGCTACTGCTGTTGTTCCATTTTACAGATGTGGACCGGTCACCATGAGCCCAGGGCCGTGCAGCTTGTGCATGTTGGAACCACGTCCTGACATAAATCAGTGGCCCAGACTCTGTCCCTCCCGGAGGAAAGTACAAAGGTGACATGTCATTTATTCATTATTTCTGCAAACCAGAGACTCTGGTCGTATTTGTTGCATATGCCAGTTTTTCCCAGCCTGGACTTTGCTGACCGAGTCCACCTGGAGTCGTAAATGGGCAAATGTCCCCATGGTGCCCGGCGCCATTTCTGCAGTGCTGCACGTTTTCCTTCAGGGCAGACCTGCTTTCCTGGGTGTCTTTGGCCTTTGGCTAGGTGCGGCATTTCCACAGCAGAGAATTGTCTGGGCTCTTATTTAAGATGGACATTTCCTAAGCCTGACCCCAGGTGTGGAGTCAGACTCCCAGGGGCTGGGGTCTTGGATTCTGCTTTATGCTAGCACTCGG